ACATCGCATTGAACTACACACACACACACACACACACACACAGGAGGGCATAGTGAAATCTGGTTAAGCTCTGTGGATTATACCAAGGTCAACTTCATGGCTTTGAGAGCATACTATAGTCATGTAAGATATTACTTTTGGGGGGAGACTGAGGGACGAGCATGTGGGAACTTTCTGCACTATTTTTACAATTTCACAGCAATCTATATTATTTCAAAACAAAGATTTTAAGAAGTGAAAAGGTAAGAAACACAAAGCTCCTATTCTCAAGCTACTTAAAATTGATTAGGGAGATAGACTAAAGAGATAATGCAGGAGCATAATAAAAAGTGATTTAGAAGAAGAAGTATTAATTTGGGGGCGTCAAGTTCAAGGAAATCTTTTCAGAAATGGGGGTGCTTGAGCCAGACCTTGGAAGGTGTGGATGAGCTTCGCATAGGAGGACAACGGGGAAGTGGTCAGAGCTGACCAAGGCCCTGCATGGCCAGATAACTTCCTTGCTCTTGGATTAATTAGTCTCAAAAAGCCATTATTTTAGTCCAGTTTCACCTCTCTGAAACTAAATATACTTCCTGAAAGAAACTCACCAAAGACTTTACATTTGACCTGGATTTGTATTAGAAATTAATGTCATGATTTACCTTGTTCTATACAAAATATTAATGGGATATTCAGGCTTGAGAAACTATAGTTCCCTAGTGAGTCTGTTTATGGGGTCTATGAGTTTCTTGCTTTGTGTAAATGTAACGGTAAGAAAAAAAGGAGAAATGTCAAATTTTCAATAACTTTATATTACTAAGTCTATAACCAAGTTCCGCATCAGTGGATTGCTAGATTCTATGCTTACTTGGAAGTGATCCTGGTATTTCAGACAAAGTGATGAAAAATGTGTTACAATTGACCTGACTAGTCATCTACTCATCTAAATTTTTTATCCAACTTTATTGAGATATAACTGACAGATAACACTGTGTAAGTTTACAATATACAATGTGATGATTTGATACACTTATATATTGTGAAGTGTTTACCACAGTAAGATTAGTTAACACATCCTTTGCCTCACTTAATTACTCTTTTGTTGTTATGGTGGGAACATTAAAGCTCTCCCAGCAACTTTTAAATACACACTACAGTATTGTTAACTACAGTCACCATGCTGTAAGAGAGCTTCAGAACTTACTCATCTTAGCTAAAAGTTGCGCCCTTCGACCACATTTCCCCATTTCCCCCCACCCTCCCCCTCAACCACCATTCTACTGTTTCTGAGTTTGATGTTTTTAGATTCCACAAATAATTGAGACCATGCAATGTTTGTCTTTCTCTGTGTGACTTACCTCACTTAACATAATGCCCTCAAGGTCCATCCATGTTGTCATAGGATTTCCTTCTTTCTTTATGGTTGAATAATATTTTACTCGTGTGTGTGTGTGTGTGTGTACCACATTTTGTTCATCCATTCATCTGTTGATGGACACTTAGGTTTCTATGTCTTGGCTGTTGTGAATAATGCAGCAATGAACATGGTAGCGCAGATATCTTTTTGAGATAGGGAATTGCGTTGCTTTGGATATATACCCAAAAGTAGGATTGCTGGGTCATAGGGTAGTTCTATCTTCTCATCTCAATTTGATGAGATTTTGATGAGCTTATAAAAAACACAACAAACCCCCTCTCCCAAAAAACTCCAAAACATTTTCTCATCTCTTGCCTTTATTTTTCAAGTAATTCTGGTCTAGGGTAAACAAACATGACTTTCTGAATGGTGTCCCAATGATATTTATATACCATTTGAACACATTTATACAGATATATACTGTCAGACATCCTGGATTAAAATCATGACTCCTTCACTTGTGCAATCTTAGGAAAATTTGGCTTTTATATCTCATTTTTCTCTGTGCCTCATGTGACCATAGTTTTATCCCATAGGCTTATAAGTTTTAAATGAGATATTTCCTGTAAAACTCCTAGCAAAAAATAAATTCTTACTCAGACTTATCATAGTCCATATATTTGCTACAATATGCAGAGCAAAAAATAAAAAAAGTAGAGGTATTGGTAAAAAGTGTTCTCTTCTTCTGCACTTCATAGCTTGTTGATTTTAAGCAGAAAAGCTTAGTGTATTTAAAACGTACTTTTTATTGAAATATACCATATATAATAGAAAAAGTGCACACATTGCAAAAGCATAGCTTGAGAATTTTTTAAAAGATTTTATTTATTTATTTGTTGGAGAGAGAGAGCACAAGCAGAGGGAGCGGCAGAGGGAGAAGCAGACTCCCTGCTGAGCAAGGAGCCCGATGCGGGGCTCAACCCCAGGACCCTGGGATCACAACCCGAGCCGAAGGCAGAAGCTTAACCCACTGAGCCACCCAGGCGCCCTGTCTGTATGATATTCTTTACAACAATGTGTATAATTACAAAAGATCCTAATCCATCTGAATCTCTGTTGATAATGAAATTCCATGTAGTCTATCATAATGTTCCATATGAACTGATAGAGAAAAATCTCCAAGATATATTAAGTGATCAAAGCAAAATGTGAAAAAGTACATATAGTATGGTACAGTTAGGTGAAAAGAAAACCCCAATGAGTATCTATGGAGCTACTGGAATATGCATGGTATAATCCCTAGGAGGATACTCAAAAACACTGGTGAGAATGAATTGTCTTTGAAGGGGAGACCATGGGACCAGGAGCCAAGGCAGGGAGAGAGACTTACTTTTTATTGTATTCCCTATTTTTATCTTTTGAGTTTTGTACCTGTGTGTGGTAGAACGGATTCTTCCCCACTTCTGCACTCCCACATCACAGCATGATGTACGTGCATTCTTGGTCGTGTGGTTTACAGCCTCCCCCAGTAGGGAAGGCAGACTACCCCACCCCCTGGGGCAGGCTTGGCTGGGTCATCTGCAGCAGAGACATGTGTAGGAGCGGCTGTGAACCCAGCAGAGCTGTAAACATGCTGCTATGATTGAGCTAGTCCTCTTTGTGCTCTTGGGATCTACCTTGTGAAGAACAAGGTCCTCTTAGCTGCTAGCTCCAGAATGAACTGGCATGTGGAGCAGACCAGGACCCAACCCACCGGGTTGAGCCAGGCCCTGGTGATCCCAGCCCAAGGCAGAGCCACCCCCAGTCAAGCTGCAGGGCTGTGAGCATGAAAAAGGAATGTTCACTGTTGGGAGCCCCTGAGCTACTCACGATTGCTTGTTACACAGCATTATAGCCATAGCCGAATAAGACAAATCCTGCAGGAGCTCTCTCAACTGATGTCCACTTAACTAGATTCCTATAGTAACCAATGCCTCTTTTCTCTCTGTAGGTATCTTAACTGATGTCCAATGCCTCTTAAATACTCATAACGAATAAGCTAATCTATTACGGCCACATCTTTCCACTCGTTCCAGTTGAACTGTAAGCTTACCAAGAGTTAGATATTTGTTCTCAGACTTACTTATGCCTGTTCTATCTGTTATAATGGTTATATTATTTAATGCATTTTGATTAATTTGGTTAAATGTGACTGTTTGCATGAAAACTACACTTTCACTCGGTGTTATACACAACTGATAAATTACTGAGCGCTACATCTTAAACTAATGATATACTATATGTTGGCTAATTGAATTTAAATTAAAAAAAGAAAAAAGAAAACTACATTCTACTCTTCGAAGAGCTCTCTAAAAGTCACTAAAAACAAACTTAGACAGTCCAATCTTGATAAATAAAAATTAGACAAATATGGAAGGATTTGTACTTAAAATGGCTTCCCAAGTGTTTTAGAATTGTTATTCATTTGAAAGACATTAAAACTAAGGTGAAAAATGATGAAGTATGAATTATTTATTAAAGAATGATTATGTGGTATTTGACATCCAAAAGACCCTAGTCCTCCATGCAAATATTAGGGAGCTAATTTACATTTACTTGTTTAAAATTAACTGTGGGAGGTATGTATGTGTACCATTTATTTATGATTCCTTGAGGATCGTAAAGAGTTTTCCGTTAATGAAATCTTCATAGAAGGTAAAGAACTTTTGCAAGTTTCCACCACTCAGGAATCCAGAAACGGACACAAAACTTCACGTTCCTCTTGGAACTCTGTACTAAATGCTAAAATCAAGGTCTGGCATCAGTTAGAGAATGAAACAGAACAAGACTTGGAATATTCCTAGAGCCTCCCTTGCTGCTTCTAAAATAGGCTTTCTGGAAGCTGCTTTAAATGTCACTTGGGTGCAAGCAATAGTATAAATTCCCCTTTGACCATGAAAACACTGCTGGTGATCAGTTTAACTTATCTTTAGAGCAAGACGGGACAGAATTATTTCTCATGTGTTGTAATTTCAGAATAATCAGTAATTCAGCATATCCTATGTAGTCATTCCCAGTTTTGTCTGTCTGTCTCTCTCTCTTTTTTTTTCCTAGCTTATAACAGTAAAGTGGGCTCCTGGAATACTTAAATTTTATTAGTTTTTCCAGTGGGCTGTTCTTTTTCATGCTGGATGTGGGCCGGAGCTTATTTTCATGGCCTGTTTATGGATGATCATAGATGACCATGGCCTGTTTATAGATGACCATAGATGACCATGGCTTGTTTATAGATGACCACCTAACTGTGATTTCTAGTAGGCCATATGATCACAGCCACCCAAAATATATTCCCAAATGAAGTCTTTCCTTCTAAGAAATTGACTTTAACTAGGAAAGGAAAAGGCCTCTTTGAACTACTCTCCCAAGTGCATATTTCGCAGAGATGAAAAATTGGGCCTACCCCTGACTGAGGGGAAGAGACTGGAGATTTCAGGTGTGTGCAGTTCTTAGCTAAGAGCAACACAGTTGAAATAATTCCTAGCCGGGATGCCAGGTAAGGGAGCCCCTCAGCAACAGCAAACAAGGTGAAGGATGCCGGAGAAGGCCTCCTTGCTGATCAGTCTCTTTCCCAAAGCCTCCCATGGGCTGGCAAGCAACTTTGAACCAAGATGGAGATGTGCTGCAGTCAGGAGTATGACTTCATCAAGGCTATGATTTTACTATACATCCGCTGAGGAGCGTCCATGCCCCAGATGAAATCGAAGTGATTCCAGTCAGGCAAGAGGTCGAAGTACTGGAGATTCCCGATTTGGGGGATTACCCTGGCCACATCCTGGAGCGTCACAAGGACATCATGGCCACCAGCCCACATAGCAGTAGGCACCTTCATGGTGGTCAAGTCATAGAGCGGGGGACGGCTCTACGGAAAAGAGAGAAAGAACATTCATGAGAGAAAGCTCCTCACTACAACAACTGGGTTCAGGTACGCAGAGAGGCTGCTAAATGAGCATTGACTAGGAACACAGTTCTGTCAGGCACCGAGGGAAGTAGAAAGAATGCCTGCAATGGTCTGTATCTTCAAGGAGTATGAAGGAACAAGGCAAGATAAGTCCACAAACATTTGCCTACAAAGTAGGGTATGTCAAATGCCACAAAACATTCCCCAAATAAATGGCAGTGAAGGCAAAGAAGAAACAACTTCTGACCGGGGGCTTTCTAGAAAGAGGAGTTATTTGAAATGACTCTTGAGGGACAGTTGGATTTTGCCAGATAGGGATGAGGGTGGGAGGGCTTCCTGGCAGGTAGCCAGAGCATGTACACCATGGTCAGGATGGCAAGCTCTCCAGTGAACCCAGGGAAGAAACTGTGTGAGACAATGCAGTAGGATATAAGATTGGAGACAGACAGTCAAGGTCTAGGCTAAGGTATTTTGACATCTTTTGGAAGTTTGGGGGGGATGAAGCAGGGTCATTTCTCAGAGCTCAGTCTTAGGGTGAATGTAGGGCCATCAGTCTGGGATGCCTTGAGGAAGGAATAGGCTGGCGGTAGATCCTGGAACAATCTAGACACACAGTAGGGATGGTCCAGAGAAGGGATAATTGAAGCTATGGGGATGACTACATTCTCCAAGAGAGAAAGGGAGAGAGGTGTGAAGAATCTTGGAGGAAGGCTGACAATTTGTGAGTGGAAGAGATAGAAAGCAGACAGTGTCAATGGAGGACGAAGGAAGCAATCAAAAAGGGAAGGGAAAATTTAAGATCACAGCATCGTGGAAGTCCGGGTTGAGTGAGTGAATGGTACAGGGGCTGTGTGACCTCACAGAACATACATCTGAAGGCGAAAACAGGCCACTGGATTTGGCAATCAAAAACCACCCGCGACTTTAAATAAAGTAGCTGTAATAGAAAGATGAAGACCCAAACTACATTTTCCGGGGTTCAGGAGTGAGTGGAGGAAGGGAAGAAGTGGAGAACTCAGCCCTTTTAAATATTAAAAAATGTTGATTGAAATCAGAGGATGGAATGATGAATGATAGAATCTGTAGGTTGATGGAAGGTTTTTGTTTGTTTGTTTGTTTCATAACGAACAGCAATTCATTTAAGAGGTAAGAGGAGCCAGAAGGAAGAGGAGATGAGAAGAGATGGGGCCAAGGGCACAGATGCACAAACTTGGGAAATAAGTGGGCATTCATTTTCTGAGAGGAAGGAAGAAGAGAACCAAGGGGATAGAGTCATTGTAAGATGGATAAAAGGGACATTAAGAAATTTCATTCATGCAACAAGTAAGTATTAAGGACCCAGGAAGTGCCAGGTCCTCTGCCCCGTGAGAAAACACTGGTGAAGAAAACAGAGGGAAATCTCTACCCTCATGGAGCTGACAGGGGTTAGTCTCCTTATTCTCAATAAAATGCAGTGGGCACAAAGATTGTGCTGGGAACTTAAGAAGACGGCAAAGTAATGATGCCGGAATATAATAAAAATTGACTTCAAGTGACCTAAAATCATACTCAAAGCAGACAGGATCAGCCTGAACTCAGATTGGACCAGCTAACCATTGAGAAATTCTAAGGACACTGACACTCCCATATATTTAAGTCAGCACGTTGTATCCTTCAATCTTACAATTTTATTTGTCAATTTTGCCTCAATAAAGCTGAAAAAGAAAGAATTTGACTAACAATGGTCTTAAGTGTATGGGTGACATTTTTGTTTCATTTTCTTATAAATGAAAACAATATGTAAATTAAATATGCTCATTAAAAATAATGGAAGAAAAGAGAAGTATGTCAAATCCAAATTGAGAGCCTCCTTAATTCCTTCACATTCCCGTAATTCCTTCAGGTTCCCCTAGTTCAGTCTGCCTTTCCTTGGCTCTCTGAAGACAATTCTTTTAAGTTTTGTTGTTGCTGTGTTTTTTTTTTTTTTTCCTGGCCCTACTCTAAGCATTTGCAAATAAATGCATCTGTGAATATATATGGTCTGAGGGGCAGGGGAAAACTTTGGGGGGTAGTGGAAACTTCTATATCTTGATTGTGGCATGGTTACAGGAATAAGTGTACTTGCCAAAACTCATTGAATTGGAAAATGTGTGAATTTTATTGTATGTAAATTATACCTTAATCAAGCTTAAAAAATAATAAAAATATACATAGCTCTCTTAGTTGTCCTAAGAGCTAGTAGAATCATTTGTCTAACAATTCAATCCATTAGTGAGAAATTGACTGGTCTGATTGACTGTTTTGATGCTCAGAAACAACTTCATTGATCTATAAATAGCCTTAAATATATCAGTCTGGGAAAATATTGGAAAAATTTAATTTAATGTGTTTGGTTCATATTGAGAAGCCCAGCTCCTGAATTTGAGGAACGAAATGGTGGCAACAGGATTATCACAGGCATAGAGGGCTAAATGAATCTCCAAATTTTAGTGTGAAAACTCAGAGGGCAAAAAGATGCTAAAGGCTCAACTCTTCATGGGTGGATAATATTCTTTTTTATTTTTTTAATTTTTAAAAAAATTTTTAAAATTTTATTATGTTAATCACCATACATTACATCATTAGTTTTTGATGTAGTGATTCTTTTAATTTTCATGTGGGATCCTATAATTTTTCTGTTGACATCCAGAACTGGGTATTCATTTTCTCTGTACATTTTTATAGATTTTTATGAAACAATTTTCATTATTATACTGTCAACAAAATTATGTTAAAAACCACCTCAGTAGCATTGGCTAGGTCTTGTGTAACTGTAAATGAAAAAGCAAGATTAAAAATTGTGTGAAAGCAGTGATACTGAGAAGATTGGAATAAATGCAGTAAAATATTGATACATATAGTGTTCTCTGGGTGGAGGGATTATAAATTATTAGAATTCCTTAAGATATCCTTCTTTTATTTCTATTCTATTTATTTTTAGATTTTCTGCAATGAATGCTTATTTAAATTAGTCATTTTCTAAAAAGCGTTATCAATGAGAATGCCACTAATTGTCAGGCAGGATTCTTTTCACTCTCCAATAATTTCTTTCTTTCTTTTTTTTAAGATTCTATTTATTTATTTGCCAGAGAGAGTGTGAGAGCACGAGAGAGAGAGCACAGGCAGGGAGAGGAGCAGACTCCCCACTCAGCAGGGAGCCCGATGCGGGACTCGATCCCAGGACCCTGAGATCATGACCTGAGCCAAAGGCAGATGCTTAACCAACTGAGCCACCTAGTCATCCCAATTTCTTATTATAATGTCTCAAAGCCACCCTTCTGGGGCCATTCCAAGCAGCTCACCTGATTATAGTGATGCATGTTCTCAGCTTCGCTTCCCCAATCATAAGCTCTGAATTCATCAGATCTGTAAAGCTGAAATACATGTTTTTTTGGAAAAATAATCAGAGTAAGAATCACAATTTTTACAGTAAATCTTAGAAAACCACTATGCACTGGGAAGAAAATAAAGCTTTCTGGATCCCCAGAAGGTTATAAATACATTTTTACCACTAGAAGCACCAGGCCAACAGAGAGGGAAGCAATGGTCTCCCTTGGTTTGAAGGGACAGCTAATGGGAAATCACGACTCCTTAGGGGAAAGTCAAACCTCAGATAGTACTCTCTCCCGGGAAGGCTCTATCACCTGAGGCTTTCCCCGGTTACCTCGTGCTTCAGCTCAGGCTCTGTTTTACAAGCTCCGATCTAAGATTGGGCTCATTTATGTCACCTATTTGGTCTGTACCATACCTTGTCCTTTCCCTTCAAATCTGGGGAAATCAAACCAAAGATGGTGACAGAGACAAAATAGAAGCCAGCTTCGAACCTTCTTAGGGTAGACCTGCTAACTCTCTCCTTTCAGATGTACCAAAATAAGATTGGAAGAGTCTTCCATGACAAAGACACTACCTGTTTTATATGCAGGATGTTCTGCATTGATGATCCAGTGGGAGCATGTGACATATACACATCCATTCGACTCTGAAGGGAAATAAAACATACTATAGCAAAAATCACCCAGTGAAAGAAAGTATACCTCCCAGAAGCAGAGAACAAGTGTGCTAAAAAGTAGCAAACCAAAGCTGGGGTTTGGGAAATGACAAGGCCGAATCATCTAGGTAAATAAGAGCTCATGTCAGTTCATGGATTGCTTGAGAGCCAACGTGCACCAGCTCTGAAGTCGTGGGATAATTTGCAAGGAGGGGGATGCTGTGCGCATGCACGTGGGTGTGCCCTGTCTCAGATCCGGGCGTCAAAACACCTGGGCTTCAGAACTTAACTCTTTTTTTTTTTTTTAAAGATTTTATTTATTTATTTGACAGAGAGAGACACAGTGAGAGAGGGGACACAAGCAGGGGGGAGTGGGAGAGGGAGAAGCAGGCTTCCCGCAGAGCAGGGAGCCCGACGTGGGGCTTGATCCCAGGACCCTGGGATCATGACCTGAGCCGAAGGCAGACGCTTAACGACTGAGCCACCCAGGCGCCCCCAGAACTTAACTCTGTTAATTATAAGCTTTGTGACTTTGTGTAACTTGTGAGTTTCTGTATTTTCACCTATTAAATGAACACACTAAAAGTCATACTGTGCCAGGCTTTTGTGAGGATAAGATAAAATATTGCAGAAGAAAAGCTAAATATAATCACTTCCTATGCGCTGTGCTTCGGTCTTTGTAAACAACATAGAGATGAATATTATAGAGATGTACTAGCAATCGGAATCCTATGTCTTAGAACACTGTAGAACGAAAGTAATCAAGGGAACTATTAAAAATGTTTACTTTTGAATAAGCAGGCTTTGAACAATGGTTCCTCTTGTATTTCGATCTGGCACTACACCTCTTGAATAGGGTGGGCTGGCGGAGAAAGCTATTTGGGGACTAGCTTCACTGTACCAGCCTCATTGGCTGCCATATGGAATGTGACAGAACTAGCTGTTCAACCACATTAGCCTGCACATGCACACTCTTCCTCCTCCTTGAATTCTCCATAACAGGAAGCAAAGAGTTGATGAAACAGGATTGCTCCTCTTTTGTGGGAAAGGGGTTCTATCTCTGTTCCATTCTGTCTGTGCCTTCCAAGTTAAGTGGGGAGTTTTATCTGAGGCCAAAGTCACCCAACAAATGAAGGCACACAGGAAATAAGTTCAATGCTTGTCTGGACTTCTTTTCTGGGATTTTTTTTTTTTTAAAAAATGCATGGTATTCGTTGTAAAATCAAATTGACTATAGGGAACGTGTGACACTCCTACCCATGATGGACATCTGTTTTCCTAAATATGACCAGGGATGGAAAGATGAACCTACCTATTCTTTCCCCCTGTTTTCACATTCATGGTCCATTGAATACTCAATCTATGCATAGCAAATCTCCTCCTTTACGGTTTAGAATACCACATTAGTTTATACAGTGTAATAGATACATCAAGGTGAGTCAAAGAAAAGCTGGAATCTCTTTTTTTTTTTAAAGATTTTATTTATTTGACAGATAGAGACACAACGAGAGAGGGAACACAAGCAGGGGGAGTGGGAGAGGGAGAAGCAGGCTTCCCGCAGAGCAGGGAGCCCGATGCGGGACTCTATCCCAGGACCCTGGGATCATGACCTGAGCTGAAGGCAGTCGCTTAACCAACTGAGCCACCCAGGCGCCCCGAAAAGCTGGAATCTCTTAAAGCATCAAATGGTCCCATAATCATTATACATACCGTATTCATATTTTTCTTGTTGGATCCAGCCCATAAGGACATGAATTCACTACATATCACCCATAATATTTTATTGTTGCAGAGTTTGAGGGAATGTTCCCTTCCCGTCTGTAAAAATATACCTTTGGTACCAAAAATACCCTGTAAAAATAAACAATAATTATCCTTTCAAGAATTATTTTCAGGCTTTTTGACATTCCCTTCATCCCAGGAATAAGGATTCTTGGAGATCTATTTCCATTTGTATTTGCTGTTTCTGCCAAGGAGACTAAGTCATTTGGGAAAAGGAACTATTTATGAACCCATCTCTATCCAGGGAAGATCAACAAACATAATTTAAAAAGAGATTGCAGTAAGGCTCTTCAACCCCCAATTTGCTTCTCCATGGTGAAGCTCCCCTATTCTGTCCAATTGTTGACTGCCTATGTTTCTTATTTCTCATTAATTGGCAAGAAAGGCAGAGCAGTTTCTCCTTAAGGCCAAATATTGCCTTGACTAGGAAGGAAAAGCAAGGTTTCCCCTACTACGCATGTGCACATCATCTTTTTAGCCGCGTCCCAGAGGAGCCAGCTCTTGGGCTGGAAAGCAGACCATGGAGTACTTAGAGGAGGGGGCCACTGGACAAAAATACTTGATATAATGGGACACAGCACAGCTAAAACTTCTAGGGCTTGAGAGAATAAGCTTGGGTGAGGCTCTCTGAGGGGAGGACTGAAGCTTCTGGGGACCACAGACAGGAAGTGGTGGGAAGGGTCAGGGAATGGGACTGAAAGTGGCAGGAAATCTGACAGGAGGTAATATGAAACTGAGATAAGCCTCAGACCCACCTATGCCCACAAAGCCACATATATGTAAAATATAAAATGCAAAAATGATGTATTTAGAGATAGATGTGTCTACCTCCGAATGTAATGTAACTTATCTGCTCAACTCTGCCCAAATGTAGAAAACACCCCAAACTAACGGGTGTCAACACACTTTGGCAACAGAACTATCAACCACACAAAAGAGAAATTGCATCACTTGAGCTTACAGTAAACAATACAATAAAACCGTGGAACCAATCATTAGGCTCTATGGGAATTCATCCTTGTGTTAGCTCACAAATAATTTTTTTTTCCATTCCCACCCATTCACCCTAAGCCAGGGCCTCATTTTACGTATGAATTACTGTGAAACCCTTATCAGTCTCCTTGATTTCATTTTGGCCAAAATTCATCTTAGCCGACACCCCAAATCAAAAAGGCGATTTTGCCAAAATACTATGTTTATCATGGCAATGACCTTTTTAGAGAAACAAAAAGCAAACAGAAAAAAAAAAAAAAAAGACTTTTGATGGATAAATTCCCAAATCCATAATTGGCAACCAAACTACTTTTTCAACCCCTGGAAAATAACCAATAAATGTCTGAACGAATAACTGAGCTGTAATACATTTAGGTTTTGGAATCATAGCTTTGGTAAATTAAAGCAAGCTCCCCTACGGGAAGGGATGTATTATTCAGGCTTATCTAACATCATGTCTTGCATCTGGGCATCGTGAATTTATTGACCTGTCCAGTGGAACAAGATGGAATGAGAAAATTGTGAGTGGATTTTAAACTACATCACAGTCACCTAACTAGAAATTCTGATATACACTCAGGTCTGTTAATGACTGAGTACAGTAAATTGTATATGGGAATTGTAGATACGCACGTGGGTACAGACACGCACATACATGGACACACATACATGCACACCCACACACACACAAAGCACATGGTCACAGAATCTGGTTTCTACAGATTTCATGTAAATTTCCTTCTTTCGCTTCATAATAGATTTTGCAATAATAAGGATCTATGGTCCAAAATGGGATCCTCAGAGACATTTTGGCGAAAATGAGAAGCCTACCTTGATTACAGAATTTGGAAGTAGAAAAAAACTGGTAAAAGTGCCCGTGGGATATTTGAATGAGACCACAGGACCCAAGGCAAAATTCATTTTGATTCTCTGTGCCAGTTCGGGCATGGTGGCAAAGGCTACAAACCCTAAGAGAACAGGAGACAAGACAGTTTTGTAAAAATTAGAAATGCTGAGGCAATGTCCCTACTAACAAGAGTAGGACTCTGCTTTGACAGCTTATCCCTCTATTGCGCTGATCCTGCGGCTGAACTGGGAAACTCTCCTGAGTTCAGCAAAGATAATCTGCCTTCAGTCCTCTCTGCTCTCAAGTGTCCATTTTCCTCATATTCTGGACAATTTGACTTGGTTGGGGGGAGTGAGGGATAAGCTGCTCGAGCCGCCAACTGCCGAGGGGTCCCGGGGACAGCTTTACCCCCCCAACCTGCTCCCCGCCACCTCCCCGCATGGGCTAAGCGCTAGCAATTCTGTCATTTTCCCGCCAACCCTGAGATGCCAGGATGAGTGACAGAGCTTCCAGAAGTAAACGATTGGTTCACGGGAGGTGAACCAATCAGTTCTTTATGCAGTATTATCCAGTGATCCCACAGTTGTTTTTTCTCACAGTGCAAAGAAATTTCATCCCTCCCAATGCTTCACTGGATGCTGACCAACCTCCAGAATGTTCCCTGATTTCCCTCAGTCCTCTGTGGTCTTGATAACGACCAGCTGTCTCCATTCGCTCTGACTTTTCAGCAACAGCATAGCATGCATTTCTAGCCCTATGAGGAGGAGGATGGCAAGCAGCACTGCACAGGGAAGTATGTGGAGTGTCTGTGTATTTTGGTTCCCTGAGATGCCTTCCAGGGACCCTGCCACTGTGTGTGTGTGTGTGTGTGCACGCTCCTGCTTTTTTTCCTGAAATTCTCGTTGAAACATTGAAACCATTTTGGCCAGAAAAAGAACAGACTTTGTATTAATTGGCTGAGCCAACGAAGACTGAAACTGGTATACTGGTATAATACTTCCCCTGGGAAGATCTCTGGTAGTGTGTGGAGGTGAGTTGTTCTGCGCTCACACTGACTTGTAGTGTAAGCTGGAGCATGGGTTTGCTAAATGTCTAGAGTGGGTCCTTCCCACATAACCAAAATTGCTCTGTCCCAAATGTGGAGGATGTTCACTGAAAAATTCATGCCCTAAATGCAAGGCAGAGCAATGCTGATCAGATATTTTCTGTTTTCTTTGCAGATCAGATGTAAGAGCATGTCTACTCCTGCCCACTTTTCTAGACCCCACTCAAGTCATACCTTAACCATCCGGTTCCTCCACATGCCCAACACCCTCACTGCGGGGAGGCAGACTGACCTGATTTGAATCTGTGTTCTTAAAATTAGAAATTTTGGTGGAAGATCACTAACAAATTCACAATATTCGTAGTATGGATTCCTCTAAATTTTTATTTGGAGCTGGATTTTTGATTTCTTTCTAAAAGATCTAGTAAATCACTAAGAAGTACATTTTCAGAGAGCTGGATCTTGAACTTTTAAAAATTTTCTGTATAGTGCTTGAATTTAATTGCTATTCCATAAATATTAAATAGCACACTAAATAGATAAGCCCAGTTGATGTATGCTTTTGCATTTCAACTTTAAAAAAGTGACTGTAGGGGCGCCTGGGTGGCTCAGTCGGTAAAGCGTCTGCCTTCGGTTCAGGTCATGATCCCAGGGTCCTGGGATCAAGCTCCGCATCGGGCTTCCTGCTCATCGGGGAACCTGCTTCTCCCTCTCCCTCTGTCCCTGCCCCTTCTCATGTGCTCTCTCTCTCTCTCTCAAATAAATAAATAAAATCTTTTAAAAAAGTGGTCATATATTTTCAATTCATTCAAATGTAAGTATAAGCTCACCCTTTGACTATTTTTTAAAATCTCAAATGGATTGTGAGGAAGGCATGATTGACACGTACTTATCATCCTTCAGGGATATTTCATGTCATTAGGCTTTACTGTTTTAGCTCAGAGGGGACCTAGAAACTTACTTTGGAAATACTTCAGTTTGGAGGCACATGGAAATTACATCACCATTACAAAAGTGCTGTTGCAACCAGAGATGGAGGAAAGACTTGCCTGACACACAGTCTCTGAAATTCCAGTTCACAGCCACTTGCTGTGGCTACTAGGTCACTAGCACGTGTCTAGCACAAGATGGGAAATTAAGGGCACGGTAAATGGCAGTGATTCCGTTCCAGTTGAAAGGCGAACCTTGGGAGGCTCTGACTCTTGTAAAACACTGACGTTTGTAGACCTACCTATTGTAGTGCCAAGTGAATGCCCAATGAAATACAGCTTTTCCTGACCAGTTTTATTTACAATGAAGTCTATGATTCCTGGGAGGTCGTATTTGGCCATCTCATCGAAACTGCAAAATAAAACGGGGGCTCATAAACACTCGCCACTAAGTTTAAGCTCAGAGCACCTGCTCACTTACTTTTTATACACAGAATTCTGTGGCGGTCGCTCCTTTGGAGTGCATCTCATTATTTACCCAATCACGTGTTGGCTAGTGTAGCTTTTGTTTGCTGCATTTATGTGCGTTACAGTCTAATAACAGGACTGATTTCAAAACCTGTGTGTACTGTCTGAAGGCCAGTCCTACCTTTTCTCCTCTTCTTGTCCTTCCGTTTCCCCTGCTTTGCCTGCCTCTTCTTCAAACACCCACAGGGCACTTCCAGACCTTCGGGCCATTTCATACTCAGCTTTGGAAACAGAACTGGTTGCAAATCATGCTTCTAGCTGAGAAACTCTTGATAAGTTACTTAAATGCTCTGAGCTTCAGTTTGCTCATCTGTGAAATGGACATAATACCTGCTCTCGAGCAGGGCTGTTAAGGGGATTGGATGACAGTCAAGTCATGACTCAGGTGCACCTGTTATTATTGTTTCTTTCCGCATTAGAGATATGTTCGATATCTACCAACATGCCATAGCCCCAGTTCTACTGGAATTAACACAGGAGAACCAAAAGACTTACGTAATATTTAGCGGAGCCAGGTAGCCCATGGGCTCAAGGCTTGCTTATCAAAAGGACATGTGAGGAAATAGGAAATCTGTAGGCTGACACTCCGAATATAAGAGAATTCTTGTGATGTCTTATAGTAAACAAGCTTCAAGCTCCCAGCCAAGGGCCAGTGACACAAAATACTTCCTGATATTTGCTCCTGCCCCAAAGCTCTGGCCCTAACAATTTATTCTACCCTTCTTTCATTCTCAACCTGTCAGTGGGTGCTGAATATTTCATTAATATGGTAGGAATGCACACTCTGTTCTCACTTAGCCTTGCAAAGGGAAGTCTCTTGCAGGCATCAGCCTGTCCTCTGGTGACAGCAGAAAATACTTTCAGTCAAAGAGGCAGCACACGAGAACATTGTTCTCCATTGCCCATTCACAAGGTTTTAAAGACCTCATATTGGAGTTCTCTTGAAAAATGGTACGCAATACAGTCTCAACCAGAATTTCTCCAAATAAAATATAGTACTGGTATACATCACCTCTGCAAAATTGATTGGCCTGTCCAAGAGAAAAGACCTGGATTAGCAGCACTAGAATGAATAGAAGCTTCGTGAGGGCAGGTACTTTGCTCACTCTTGAGTGCTCAGGGCCTGGAACTGTACATACAGTAGACACTCAGCAAACATTGGTTAAGTGAGTGTGTGCACCGATCATAGGAATTCCCTGAGCTGTCCCTTGGGACAGACTTATAATGTATATTATTGGATAGAATTGCATGTTAAAATCATCATGTTAAAATGATATAATGTGCTTGTGGGAGAATCAGTGGAAATCTAACTTCTTGTTATTTCTCTGCTTTGAAATATTAGTAGAAACCACAAGGAACTATGTGACTTCCAATGTTACAGATTATTATTAACATCATCCACACTATTATATTCAAAGAAATTGCCTCGAACTTTCTTCATGATTTTTCTTAGATACAATTTACCTAAAGGCCCAGAATTTTTCTTCAGTCACTGAGAGTGTTGTGTGTCTTCTTGACCAAGTGTTCCCCCGGCTGTTTCCCATCCAGACATCATAACCTGCATCTGCTAGAAGGAATCCAAGGCTGCCATTGGCAAAATTCTCCAGCCAAGAGGCATTGTCTGCAAATAAGGCATGTTGCATATATACCACTGGCCGGGGCCCTGGAAGGAGAGAGGAAGAGAGAGGAGAGAGAGAATAATTTATGATAAATAGAGCATCTCAGGAACATGATAGAACCCCCCCACACACACACACACCCCACACCAGAAGAAGCAAAAACCAAAATCAGCATTCACCTTCTCCCTGGTCATTTGTGTAGAGCGTGAGAATCACGTAAGTTTCTTGAGCACGTGCATTATACCTGGTGCTATGCTGACAGATGAACAGATGAACACACATGAGCTTCTTACATTCTCATAATACCTCTATTATGATAGCTACTATTTTAAGGATCTTCATTTTATAGATGCAGAAACTGAGCTTTAAGGTAGTGAAGTAACTTTCCCAAGGGGCCACCCAGTTAACAAGATGCAAAGCCAGGACGAAAGCCCAGTTCTGTTTCACACCGAAGTGGGTGCTCGTAACTGAGCTCGCTGCTCTATGAATTCTCATTTGCCTATCTCTGGGGTCTGACTTGCAAAGACAGGAAAATGATCGTGTTTGATGGAATCCCATGCCTCTTCCAGGGAGGAGGAGGATGAGAGTGTAAATGGACAATGACTGGTTCCTCGCCAAGCTTCCAGCCAAATCCCCAGCCTCTGCCCACCAGAGAGCATTTGAAAACCCCAAATATAATAGAATCGGCTCAACATCCCTCTGACAACTGTCAAATTCCTGAGGGAGAGGCTATTCAGGGAGATGAGGAGAACCAATGCAGAAGGTTCCAAAAAGGCACCATAATTTAGTGGGTAAGACCATGGGCTCTGGAGCCAGGCTGGGTTTGAATCCTGATTCCATCACTTGCTATGTGTGTGACTTTGAGCATTTTACAGAGCCTGCTCAGGTTCATCATCTGTAAAATGATAACTATTCATAGTACCGACCTCCTAGGGATGAGAGGTTTATTGAATATAAATTAATGTAAAGCTTTGAGAATAATACATTTAATCAATGGTTCTTAATTCCAAACCTTCCCCAAATTCTCCCTTCTTAAGTAAAACTTTTCCTGGAAAAATGCTCTCCTTTTAGAGTTCCTAGCCCCCTCCCCCCAAGGCTGGTGTTGCCAGATGTTGCAAAAAAAATGAAAATGAAGATTAAGAGAAGACTCAGGATGTCCTGTTGATTTGAATTTCAGATACAGGATGAACAATTTCTGTATAAGTACATTCTAAGTGGAACTTGTCCAAGAAACTGATTTGTTAGTAATCTGAAATTCAACTTCAACTGGTGTCTTCCATTTGTCTCTTACAGGTCATGATCCTGGAGTCCCTGGATCGAGTCCTGCATCGGGCTCCCTGCTCGGCAGGGAGTCTGCTTTGCCCTCTGACCCTATCCCCTCTCATGTGTTCTCTCTCATTCTCTCTCTCTCAAAATAAATAAATAAAATCTTTAAAAAAAAAAAAAAGAAAGTCAAACAGGGTGATTTTAGCTGCCTCTGAATATGAATGGCAGGAGGGATGGTGAGTGACAGGTAAAGGATTTGCCCCCTAAACTTCCCAGATACTTTGCTTATGCTTCTCTCTTCCTCACTCATCTTGAGCTTTGCAGTGACATGTCCCTATTTAAAGAGTCATTTCTCTGCTTTTGCATGGCTGGCTCTTCATGCTAGAATTCAGGCCTTATTAACACCATGCTCTTTCCTCCCACAAAACTTCTGTCCCTCTGATCAAAACATAGGAAGAATGATCCAGTTTTCCTTCTCGGAAAAAGTTTTGGAAATGTCAGGGTCATTTAATTTGATTTTTTTAATCCTGCAGAGGGAAGCCTATTGATTCTAGAGGGGGCAGGAGAGACTTCATGCAACCCAGCCGATCTCTTTGCAAGTGAGGAAATCCACTTTCCTGGGATGCAGCAATTTTCCACATGAGAAATCAGTCATGAATGAAAGAAATGTCGGCCCCGCCTTTGCATTTACACCCTGACCAAGCAGGCCTGCTTGCTGTCAACAAGATCTGTCTTGCCTTTTGTATTTTTAGGTTCTTGACTGTCTTCAGAGAATTGGAAAAGAATGAGACTCCCTGTTAACTATTTATTTATTTATTTTTATTTTATTTTATTTTTTTAAGATTTTTATTTATTTATTTGACGGAGAGAGACACAGTGAGAGAGGGAACACAAGCAGGGGGAGTGGGAGAGGGAGAAGCAGGCTTCCCGCGGAGCAGGGAGCCCGATGCGGGACTCGATCCCAGGACCCTGGGATCATGACCTGAGCCGAAGGCAGACACGTAACGACTGAGCCACCCAGGCGCCCCTCCCTGTTAACTATTTAAAGACTAATCCAAGAGTCCATCGATTTTGATAAACTAGTCATTCTCTTAATGGAAAGCCAGCACCAAATTGGAGCCATTTGCTGTCCTCCTTTGCAGGAGAGAACATCTTTTACCTGGGCTCCTGGCATCTTTTCGTCCATGAGGAATTCTGTTGACGCTGAGGATGTACCCATCCTGAGTGATGACTTCATACTCTTCACTGGGGTAGCCATTATAGGTGATGATCTCACTCTGCCAGGTAAAAACCCAGACGTTAGCTCAACATCTTCTCCAGAGGTGATCGGAAGGAACTAGAACAAAGCATCTGGTGTGTGCTTATTGGGGTGAATTATCTGAAATCTGTAGCCCCAGGAAACTGTAAAATCAATTTACTGTGTAAAGTCTTGATAAAAAATTAGCAGAATATTTAAAAAATGTCTGCTATTGGCAAATTTGGGGGTGGGTAGTTGGGTAGAGATAATATTTAGTATTTTCTGACACAACTATGTTCTCCAGCTGATTCTCGAGACCCTTATGGTTTGGTAGAAGGAAGTTATATATATTATCCAAATAGCTTAAAATAGAAATTTTAATATTTTTAAAATATAAATTCAGAAGAGGAGGTGGCCTATAAATTCTTTTTTGCTTTACATTACTAGAAAATATTATTTACTCAGTCAAAAGGGGAGATCTTCCTAGCTTTACTCTTAGAGAAATGTTAAATATCACCTACGTTTTATCTGTTCCCTTATCTGAGACTCTCTGCTATCACAAGACTGTTCATCTGCCTTATGTGATGTCCTTTGGGACTTGGCATGACTTACAATATTCATCCACACTTCAGGATTCGCTTCTTCTTCCAAATTAAAGAATCTACCAGCACTTAAAGTTCCACAGATCAAACAACAGGTTGTTGTTAAAACCAGCCACATCGTGGGAATGCCTGACCTAAGACATTTAATAATCACAGATTAATTTTATACATCAACTTTGCTTTAAGAAATGAAAATAGTGCCCTACTGAAAACCGGACGGACATCCTAGGAGCACTGAGAAAGTGTGGAAGGAAGCAAACGCAGTGAGCTAACTCTGAGCATGAGAATCCTTTCCTCACATAGAAACTGCTTTGACCCAATCCACTTCTGCAAGACATTTCATCCAGTACCAAGCCTTATTATTTTGGTCGTCCTTTCGTCAAAGGTTTTCAATTATGTTTTTTTTTTTAAGATTTTATTTATTGAGAGAGAGAATGAGATAGAGAGAGTATGGGGGGGGAGGGTCAGAGGGAGAAGCAGACTCCCTGCCGAGCAGGGAGCCCAATGCGGGACTCGATCCCGGGACTCCAGGATCATGACCTGAGCCGAAGGCAGCTGCCCAACCAACTGAGCCACCCAGGCGCCCAGTTTTCAATTATGTTAAGTCTTTGCTCACCTGCAAATTGCCAGGGTACCCGAAGACTCAGAGGACAGGTGTCCAAAGCCACAGTAAAGGGAAAAGGGGTGCTATCCTCTACTCTAACCAGCTTCCCACAAAACAAACAAGAACAGTGAGCAGAGAAGCTGACGATCGGTTTCCAGTGACCGGATTCTTTCTCTTGTGGACACCCAGTGGGGAAGGCTGCACATTTGAATGTGCAATCTCTTCCTTGGCATGGCTTAAAAGCACTTCTTCCGAGGCAGACCACAGTGCCCCTCTTGTGACCCCCAGTCATGACCTGACGTTGAGGTCCAGCCTCACCACCAACAAGATCTCTGACCTTGGGCAAGTTATTTAGCAGCTTTGTCTCTTGGTTTCTTTGTGGGTGAAATTAGAATAATGTTACCTACCTTACGGGACTGTAAGAAGGATTAAAGGACCTGTAAAGCAGTAGACACAGTTAGTCCTTTCTCGCTATTTTTCCCAATCAGAGAATGAGCCAGAAAGTAACATCAGAGAGCTGTAACAAATTAATGACTGACTTCTAGAAATTTAGAGCTTTACTTCTGAAGATTTTAAATAGCTTTCCATGCATTTGCTGTCTGGTTGAAGATGATTTTATATCTGCAAATGTCATATAATTGAAAACATTGTTAAAACTAGTAACAGCTAGTATCTACTGAGTGCTAAGCTTGCCCAGAGAATGTTTCTAAATGCCTCAGACGTGTTATTTCAATCTCAAAGAAACTCCATGAAGTAGGTCCTATCATCCTCAATTTATTGATGAAAAAACCCAAGGCTTAGAGAGATTTCAGATCTGCCCAGGTCACAGAGCCCACGGGTGCCAGAAGTGGGTCCGGAAGGCAGGCAGCCTCCCAGCAGTGCCCTTGCACCTGACACCCCTCCCGCTTGTGATAGATCTTGACCTTACCTAGTTCAGTGAGCATCCTCTGCTCCCGAAGAGTCTGCACCGATTAGGAACCTCTAAACTTTTGCATGTGACTTCAGGCTGAAGAATGAGATGTGGTTGCAGTGACAGTTAGAAGCTAGAGAGAGCAGAGACAGGAAGCCCATGGAAATGAGGAAACCCCAGGCTGTGGCGCCTCCCAGGGCATCTTCCTGACACACCAAATGCCCTGATGCGCTTGCAGATTGGGAAACAGTGGTCTGCAGGATGCCAAGTAACCAGTTTGACTGAATCCTTCATGTTTCCTTGGAGTTTCCTTGGGCCACTGTTGGGAGGGTTCCGCTACATTTTCAAAGCCTGGCATAAAATGGGGAAGTCGGACAGACTCAGGAGCCTAATGGACAGAAGCAGACAGAGCAATATCTACCTTCTCAATGCCAGGGCATTTCTGTCAGGGTCAGATGAAGCAATGTCTGGGAAATGCACTGATGTCAACTGTGTCATGTGGAGGGAGGGGACTGATTGTGGCTAAATGGTGAGGATGAGGCCATCCTGACTCCTGGCTCCCGAGGCCAGGCAGGACCTGGAAGCAGCAGAGCGTTGGAGGACACCGACCCATATGCCCAAGGGATGCAGCCCTGGGTCAGCTTTGGCAGCAACCGTTGTAAGCACCGAAACACGGAGCAGTTGACCTCTACTTAAAGCAAAGTAGAAGCAGGGGCGCCTGGGGGGCTCAGTTGATTGAGTGCCCCACTCTTGATTTCGGCTCAGCTCATGATCTCAGGGTCTTGGGATCAAGCCCTGCGTCGAGCTCTGCGCTCAGCGGGGCGTCTGCTTGAGATTTTCTCTCCCTCTCCCTCTGCCCCTCCCCACTCCTGCATTCTCTGTCTCTCTAAAATAGATAAATAAAATCTTAAAAAAACAAAACAAAACAAAACCCACACACAAAGCAAAATAGAAGCAGAGGCCAGAGGAGAATGAAGACAACTTAGCTCCAACCTCCCCCCCAAAATAGTGGAGGCACATATGCATCGTTTCTGTTTCACTCTGTATTCTGTACACCTCTAGGGCCCCAGCAGCGACTGAATCTCTTGGGGACAAGAAGCGGGAAGACAGTGAAGTCCTACCTAGCAGATTCAATAGCTTCTGTTCTCTGAGTCTGGACTTATCCTGCACCCCTTTCAAAAACAAAGCTCTTACTCGCATGTGTCCAAACCTTAAGATCAGTTCCACTTGAACGGGGAATTTCATGCCAATTACACCAACATGGACTGAGAAGAAGGACTCTGCTTGTTGGACTAAGTGGGAAGATAATGGATTATTCCACCTTTTTTTTTTTTTAATATTTTAGTTATTTGAGAGAGCGAGATAGCACAAGCAGGGCACAGGGAGAGGGAGAAGCAGGCTCTCTGCTGGGCAGGGAGCCCAATGCAGGGCTCCATCCCAGGACCCCGGGATCATGACCTGAGCCAAAGGCAGATGCTTCACCTACTGAGCCACCCAGGCCCCCGGATTATTCCACCTTTGAGGCAAGACTCCACCGTTCTTGACCCTGATGACCCAATGACAGAGGGATGAGGACCTGCTGGGAAACACACATGGCTTCTGATTTTCAAAATCACTTCAGGGGCGCCTGGGTGGTTCAACAGTTAAGCGTTTGCCTTCGGCTCAGGTCATGATCCCGGGGTCCTGGGATCGAGCCCCACATTGGGCTCCCTGCTCAGCGGGAAGCCTGCTTCTCCCTCTCCCACTACCCCCGCTTGTGTTCCCTCTCTCGCTGTGTCTCTGTTTGTCAAATAAATAAATAAAATCTTAAAAAAAAAAAAAAAACTTTAAAAAAATTACTTGAAACAGAACTTCAACAGACTCTGGGGAGTTCTAAGAGGCACAATGTTATTAGTATTAATGTAGATTTGTGGCCATACTCCGCGTGGAACTAGCATGAATGGAGCTAAATGTCTCCAGCCTTGACAGGTTTTAGAACAGCTCGAATCTCAAAAGTCTGTATCATCGTGCTCTCAGACCCCTCTTGGAAGCATTCAATATGTTGAAAGGAGTTAAAATGAAACACATTGCAACTTCTTCCTTGGCCCTGTGAAATACAAAACTATAGCTCCTACTCTCTAGAAGCTCAATTTTTCCCTACTTTTTCCCCCCATAAAATTAGATCGTATTAGAGCTGGAACATGATCTTGGGGGCAGCCTTTCTGAAACCTGGTGGTGTTTCTGATACCTTGACCCAAAGTTCATACTGCAGTCTGAGCAAATTTTTTAATGATGGCTGCCCGTTCAAGTATCAAGGTGGCTAAAAATACATGCTTGAACAGAGAATATAGATCCTTGAACTTGACGTCTGTCAGCGACAATGATTATTATTTTCCTTCCAATGTTCTAATTCAAAATACATTTGCTATCACATCACCTCTTTTTTTGTTTGCTTGCTTCTTTCTCCCCAAACACTGATATTTTTGGTAGCACATAACTTTGTATCAAAGGGGGAATCGTTTTCCCTTGAAGGCAACTCAAGGTTAAAAATAGAAATTAATGAGAATTTTGGAGAAACAAATAATTAAACCTTACCCCCTTTAGACAAATTTTGCCCTAGAATAAAAGGCTTTGCATGAACAGGAGCACAGAATCTGTTGCTTGCTCACCAATTCAAACAGGGTGGTAAGCATGTGTGCGTGTGTGCGTGCATGCACACAGTGATTGATTAGCCCAATTTGGCTTTAGGAAAGGCACTTTAAATTACATTGAACAATTTTATTTCTCTACCCATAAAGCAGAATTGGCCATGCTCGTGACATCTATAAGAAACAATGCTGTTTCTGAAATTATCTATCAGAATGGAGCATGTTCTCTTTAATGCTGGCTGGTGTCTGTGAATCTCCCCATCAACCCCACTAAAGCGCACCCACCTTCAAACACCGTATGGCTATAGGATGGAGAGGTGGGAGAGAGAAAAGGCAAGTAAAAAGTTCCATCATAAATAACTGCAATATTAAAGGTTTTTGAAAAGAGGTCATAAAAAGCTAATTGAATGTACGCTCATCCCGATCCAAAATGCGCAAAGGAAATATCACTTCCATTTAAAGAGAAGTTATTACCAAGAGTGCAGGTGGTTGCCCTTGATGACTTCCACGTCCTGGGGTGGCAGGATCAAGACTGTATTTGTGGCAAAGGTCAAAGCTTCTGGGGAATGAAGAGGAGGGACCATATTATCAAGTAGGAGGAGATTTATAGCATCCAATCCTCCAAGCCTGTTTACCTGCCTAACTGCCTACTTAATGTGCAGAATTTATGTATGGTATTCTTTACAGCTCATTTTGTATTTGAATTCCTGTAGGAGGTATGTTCAAATGGAAATGGTTTTTTTTAAACATGCACAGACAACGCACAGACAGATACACACACACACACACACAGAACACCTGGCCAGAAATTTAAGTTGTATCTAGTTTTAGATACAGTCTTATCAATTTGTGTGGGTAAATGAAAGGCAATTGGAAAGAACAACAAGATAACACTGGCTATTTTGACACATGCTTTTGTTTCTTTTCTGAATTAATTTTCTACTGTGTTAAATTGCTGTTAAATCACCTTCAAATCT